GGAAAGGGCGGCGGCGGCGCCCCGGGGCGGGGCCGGGGCGGGGCCCGACTTCCCGGCTCGCAGCCGCCCGAGCCCCGGCAGCCTGCGCTCGCCATGAAGCGGCCCAGGCAGCCGAGCGGCTCCGACAGCGAGTCCGACGGCCCCATCGACGTGGGCCGCGAGGGCGAGCTGAGGTAAGGCGGGCGCGGGGAGCGTCCCGGGGGGTCCCGGGCGGCGCAGGTGTGCGCGAGCGCCCGCAGGTGTGTCCAGGGGGCGGGGGAGGGCAGGTGCAGTGTGGGCCGTTACACGCGCGAGTGCCCGAGAGCCTGTGCGCTCTCGCCATTTAGGGCTCGGGAGACGGGGATGGAGGTGGACTTCAGCTCGGGGGTCTGATGTCCAGTTGGCGATCGGCTTTCTGTCCAAGTGCCCGGGTGAGGCTATGCGCGAGTTCTCCCCGGAGATCATTGGAAACCCTCATAGACTGTTGGTACCATACGCCCCTTTCGGAGCCCGCTGACGATGCGGAATAACCATGCTTTCCCGATTTTACCCTTGCTTAAGCACACTTTTCATATAGCCCCCAAAAAGCTTCCAGGGGAAGAAAGTCTCTCCTTCCTTCCTTAAGCAAACTGGACTTTGAAATAAGGTTTTGGTATTGAAGACAATAATCGCCAACTCTCCCGTGGTCAGTCCAAGGGCCTGGCCTCCAATTCAGTGCTCTTTCTCCTGCATCCCTCTGCTGCCAATGTCGTTCGGCTCTTGTTAAATATTCTGACCAGCTTCAAATCGATTGAACGAACTGCACTTGTACAGTTTGCTACTTCCCAGTTCTGTGAACAATCTAAGCTTCAGTTTCCACATCTGTAAAAAGGGTGTAAATAATAGAACTGACTTCATAGGGTTATTGGGAACATCAAATGAGATGATATACAGGGCCTAGCACATGGCAAATGCTTAATTAGTGTCAGGCCCCCAACATGTGGTACCCAGAACCCAGAGACAGCAGCAGAGACTGACTGAGAGTATGCAGGCCTGGGTCCCAGCCCCACATCTGCCACCAACTCACCATGTGGCCTTGGGCCACTGCTTTCCCTTCGTGAGCCTGTTTCTTCATCAGTAAAATAAAGGAGGATGGGGAGTGGGAAGGGGCGGCTCTCTGATCTCTCCTGGCTCATCCGAACCTGACACTCTAGAATAGAGTTGGAAGGGGGATTCAGTTCATTCTCATGGGCCTTTCTGAGGGCATGTCATAATTTCAATGATCTTCAGTTTTCGGAGACCAGGAATCCTGCCTCAGTCACAAATCCTAGTAAAGTGCCACCAGCTCCCGATTACTTATAGCTTATAATAGGAGGTACAGTAATAGATAGCCCCCTTGCATCCTGTACATTAGGTTTGGGGGTGTTTAACACAATTTCCTATACAACTTATTAGCCTTTTTAAATTGTTTGGCAGAAACTGCTATTTAGAGAAGCAGTTCTCTGAATCTGTGCCTGCTAGGAGCAGGGGAAGGGCCCAGCACCACATGGTGGGGGGGGGGGGGGGGGGGGGGGCGGGTCTCAAATTCAATGTCATTGGGTCATCACGAATCAGATTCATGAAACTGATGCCAGAGAGCTAGGCTGATCAGAACTGGCTTCTGCCCTCTGAGAATCTGTCAGTGACCTACCAGGTCACATAAAGCCCATAGACAGGATGGAAGACAGAAGGAGAGACAGACTGTGGACTGCGAGGACATCTAAACAGGGAGAGGTCGTTCACAACCAAAGGCAGCAGGGAGGGCTTCCTGAAGGTGGTGGCATTTGGCCTATGGCATAACGGATTAGTGGGCAGTTTTTTTCCTATACAGCATTTTGTCCTTTCAGCCAGAGCCCATTTTTAGAGACTGTCTAGATTCTTAGAGGAGCAGACCCCCTCAGAGGAGAGAAAGCAATTGGACATCTGGCAGAGGCTGACTTATAGACCCCTCTTTGTAGCACTCACCAAAGGGCCCTCCCCCAGCAGACATCAATGCTTCAATTCAGGGAACACTGAACGATGCCTGCTGTAGCCCAGACCCTCGGTTGGGCGTGGGGGGCCCAGATGTATCCTGCTCAGCTTCTGCCCTCGGGGAACTCTCAGAGAAGAAGAGCTTCATGTGGAAACAAAGCCAGATAAACAGTGGCCAGGGCCATAGGGCTGGGGCAGCCAGCCTCCCTGGGGTCAGAGGCAGGGCACAAATCCCCCATACTCAGAGACGTGAGAGGAAAGAGCAGGGTGTGTGCCATCATCACTGTGGGCATCTGCCTGGTGGTGGTATCCTGCCCCATGTGACAGAATCACCCACAGGGCTCCTGTCTGAACCCAGCCCCCTGACACAGGCTGGGTCCACACTGAGAATATAGCCTCTCCCCTCCCCCTCTGCAAACATTTAATGAGCACCTGTCACATGTCGGGCACTGGGTCAGGGTCTGTGGGTCATTCCTACATGATTTAAGGCACATGGTGGCCTTTGAAGTCAGATAGACAGACCTGAGTTTGACTCTCACCACCATTAACTTGGGCAAGTGACTTGACTGCTTTCTGCACCTCAGTTTTCTCCCTTACAAGATGGGGATGCGAATGCCTATCTTACAGGGTGAGGCTTTGATGAGGTAATGTACCTAAAACACACAGTTCCCTGTTTTGGCACAAGGTGACTTCCAATTAATGCTACTCTCTCTGGGGTCACCATTCCGTTGGAAGATGCCATGAAGCAGCATGGTCCAATGAAAAGACTGGAAGTCTGAGGGCTGGACTTTCTGTGCATGGTTCTTAATGCTTTGTGTCTCTGTCACTCCATCTATCAAATGATGATTGTCCCTAAATGCGAAATGGTCCCAATTATACTTAACTCACAGAACTATTGTGCAATAAATGAGACAAGTGAATGTGGAAGTGCTGTCTAGAACAAGAAGTACTGGCTATGAGATATACGTGATGGGACAATGAATATAGGGGGTGCACTGAGAAGAGCACTGGATTAAAAGCCAGCAGACTTGGCTCCAGTTCTGGAATTTCCTCTAATTTGCTGTGTGGCCTGGAGCAGCTCCCTTCCCCTCTCTGAGTTTCCCCATTTTACAAGTGGGCTCAGTGCTCTCTGAGAGCCCTTCACTGGAGACATTGTGATCCTGCTTTTGGTTGATGCAAAACGGGTGGGGTCACCTGCCAGGGCTCCACGGGGGGAGTTTCCAAAGGGGAACTGAGGGTGAGCACTGAGGGTGGTAGCACTGGCAGCCAGACCACCTAGAAATTTGCCCCCACCCCCACCCAAGGGACCACCCCAGAATTCTGGCTAGGGACCACTCGAAGCCCGTGCAGCAGATCTTAGCAGTCGACATATCTTCTCTGGATCCGTGAAAATCTGCCTTACTTTCAGACTCTCAGACAAGAAGCTCCCACACCTCCTCCCAGTGTCAGGGCCAGATCACAGCCTGGAAGCAAGCTCTGGCTGAGCTCTTGGGAGTTTTAAGGATAAGAGGACTGGAGAGCTATTCAGACAGACAGGAAATAGGAATTAGGAGGGAAAACAATACTGAATTTGGAGCCAGAAGACATGGATTCCCATGCGGGCTTTGCTCCTTAGCAGCTGTGTAGGCTGGGCAAGCTGCCTTAGGTCCCCGAGGCTCAGCATCCTCATCTGTAAAATGGGGCTTTTGTTAGGCTCAAAGGCAGAAACATATGTAGTGATGCCAAGACAGCTGTGAAATGAGGCTTGCCCGTGAGATATGGGAGTCGGGGGAGAGGGATAATAGTGCTCAGAATGAGGGACCAGGAGAGTGGAAAAGGGATGGCAGAGCTGCCGTGTCCTGAAAGGGGTGCATCAGCCTCTGAGAGATGGTCCCTAAGGAAGGATCAGGCTGAAAGGCAGTGACGTGTGCAGTGCTAACCCAATACCCCTAGATACGCCTTATCCAGCCCTAGTCAGGGGGGAAAGGGGGCAGGCAGACAGAGGCCGTGTTTCTTAGTTTACCTTGGCTCTTGGGGCTTGTCCTGAGTGAAGCTTTGTAAACAAGTTGCCCTACAGATCTCAGGATCTGGCCGTCTGAACTCTGGACCTAACTTGCTGGGCTGTCCCTCCCAGGACCCTTCACAGGCCTCTTACCAACCCTTCTTGTCCAGATGTTTGGATGGCGATATTCTTTTCCAGATGTAGCTGGACAAAGCCAGGGGCATAGCAGTGGGATTTGACAAATGTTGATCTGCTCTCTCCTGCAACCTTCTCTCTTTGAACAGTTGATGAAAATGATACAGCCTGGGATGCCAAGAGGGTAGTCATGTGGGCTGGGACCCTCCTGGTGAGCCACATATGCTCACTCCCCTTCTACAAGGGCCTAGGACATGGATTTTTTGGTGCCACCTCTCTGTTCCCCAATGATAGCAAAGATGAGGGCTGGAGGAGGAGCTGAGCCATGAGCTGTACTGTGTTCCAAGCACTTGCTGAGTACTGGGGCTGCAATAGTGAATGAGACAGACATGGCTCATGGCCTCATGGAGCTTATGGACTTATTGGAAAGAGAGACATTAATCAAATAATCATACAAATATAAAACAACAAATGGGCATAAGCGCTATGAATGCGGACTGCTAGGAGAGTGCAGATCAGGGAACATGTAGTGTGAGGGGGGATGTCAGAAAAGCCTCCCCCAGGAAGGTGACATTTGAGTTGGGACCTGAAGAGCGGTAGAAGTGACTAGGCAAAGGGGCTGGGCCTTGGGGGTGGGGAGATTGGTGACCAGAGAATTCTAGGCTAGAGGAACAGTATGTGCAATCCTAGGAAAGAGTTCATGCGTTCGCAGGCCGGAGCACACAGAGTGAAAGAGAGCTGAGTCTAGGAGATGACAGGGGCCAGCTGGGCCACCGGAAAGATGGTGGCCTTGATCCTAAAAGCATTGAGAAGCCCCTGACTGAGTTTTAAGAGAGTGACAAGATCAGAGTTGCATTTAAATGATCACTCTGCCTGCTTGTAGGAGGTAAGAGGGGCGCGCAGGGACCGGTGGTCCCTGGGAGAGAGGACAGAGGTTTGGTCCTAAGGATGGCAGAAGTGACGTACTTTAGACATGGAACGGGCAGGTTTTAATGAGTTGGGGTGAGGACAGAGGAGGAATGAAAGATGGTGGCCAGGTGTCCACCTTGCAGAACTGGGAGAGGCGGTGCCCTCACTAAGATGGGGAACCCACCGGGAAGAGGAGGCCAACTCATGGGTTCCTGTTCGGATGTGTGCATTTTGCCTTCCAGAATGGCAGGGGAGTCACCTTGTCTAAAGTTATTTGTTGAGGTGGTGTCTCCCCACGGTGGCTGAGCCTCTGGAGGGCTGGGGTCGGGCTGACCACCTCCAGTCCAGCCCTGGGCCTGAATGGGGCCTCTGGAGTGTTGGCCAAATGAATGATCCTCAGGGCAACCCAGTGAATCCCCTCCATTCCCAGAGAGCCTCTGAAGCAGGAAATCGTTAAGGGGGCCAGCAGCTGTGCTTAAGAGGGTTTCTATCAGTCTGGGCAGGAAAAGCCCCCAGGGCTGAGCCTCTGCCCAGTAATGGGAACTCGTGGGGCCGAGCAAACATCCATCCTTCAGGGAGGCCCGACGCGGTGCGGGGCTGCGGCCTTCTGGGGAGGCCAAGGCAGTGTCCCCAGAGTCCAGAGGAGCCTGTGACCCAGATGCCGCCTCCCCCTCGCCCCCGGCCGCGCTGCGTGGGAGGAGGCGGCAGCTGCAGGCCGCCGGAGGGCGGGCGGCCGGCGCGCCCGGCCCGTGGGAAGCGGCGGCATCTGCTTTTTCCACGCTCGTTCCCAGCGGCTCCCTCTGAAACCCAAGCCGCCGGCCCGGCCCCCGCCGCCTCGGCCCGTGCCCTCGCCCGCCCCGCCCGCGGATCGGGTTGCAGGACCCGGTGGCCGGGCTGCGGCTGCGGCTCCCCGGGCGAGCAGGCGAGCCCCCCGACTCCAGGGCAGGAGACCGCGTGTAGGGGAGGACTTGGCCCCGGGGGAGAAGGGGAGAGAGCGTCCCCACCCACGCCTGCCCCGCGCCTCTTCCCGGCCTGGGAGACCACGGCCGCCTGGGAGGGGGCTGTGCCCGCCCACAGCCCGGCCTGCGAGGTCAGCCCAGGCCAGGGAGATGGGCCCCGAGCGCTGAAAAGTCAGCCTTTCTCTTCCTCTCCAGCCAGATGGCCAGGCCGCTGTCCACCCCCAGCCCTTCGCAGATGCAAGCCAGGAAGAAACGCAGAGGGGTGAGTGTCTGTCTCCGCAGAGTTGCCTGAGTCTCCAGGGGCCTGGCGGAGCGAACCGGAGTCAAAAACATCACCCTGAACCTAGACTGCCTGGGTTCAAATCCTCGCTCTGCCAGTAGCTAGCAGGGGGGACTTTGGGCGAGCCACTTAACCTCTCTGTGCTTCATTTCCTCATCTGTGTAACTGAAATAATGACAGGACCTCCCGCAAAGGGTTGTTTTAAGATTAAGTGAATTAATGTAATGCACTCGGAACAATACCTGACACACAATTAGCCGTTATTATTTATTCCAGCCTTCCCCTCTTCTCTCTGAGCCCAGAGCTTTCACTTCCTCCTAGTGTGCTGCAGGGCGGGGGAGGGGGACAGGAGGAGGAGTGGCCTCTGCTTCTCTCGGTGGTCTCATCCCAGCCCTGCTTTCCCCCAGGAGGCAGCTGTGCTTCTACAGGCCAGTCCAGAGACCTGGGATCTGGCAGAGACCAGCCCTGCCACTCACTAACCATCAGACCTTAGGCACACCGCTTCCGTGCAGCCCTCATTGTCTTTATCAGTAAAATGGGGGGTCATCATTTCTGCTCTGCTATCAGTATTGCGAGATGAGAATGAGGTAGTGTGAATGAAAGGCCTTCCCAGCTGGAGAGAGCAATGCCCAGGACTCTTCAGACCTCATGCCCCTGGCCGAGCAGGGGTCTCCAGGGCCTGCTCCAGCACTGTGGCTGGTGTCCCTGTTCTGATTGGTTGGCGCCCTGCTGTATCAATGGTTAAATGTTTTGAATGTCACCCCTACAGATCAAGATGAGAGATCCGAGTTCTATTCCCAGCTTTGCACTTCTTTGCTGTGTGACCTTAAGCAAATCACTGCCTCTCTCTGAGCCTCGGCTTCCTCCTCCATAATGTAAGAATAGATTTTTCTCCCTCACATATGTTATGAAGGAAAATATGAGTCAGTGTCCATCAAGGCGCATTGGAAACTGTGATGAAGTGCCTACGTGTAACTTCTTGTCATTGTCTTTTAGATCATAGAGAAACGGCGCCGAGACCGCATCAACAGCAGCCTGTCTGAATTGCGGCGCTTGGTCCCCACTGCCTTTGAGAAGCAGGTAGGTGGCATTGCTGATTGTGCTGGAAGAAATACTCTGCGAGTGGCAGAAAGGTTCACCTCTCCTGGCGTTTCCTGTTGATGGGTAGCAGCTCCCTGAAGACGGTGCTACCATTTGCCGGAATAAGGGGAATCACAATTGATATTTCCTGAGGTGTCTCAGGTGTTGTGGCTCTATGTCCATCATCCAATTGAGTTGAATCCTCGAAATGATCCTGAAGTAGGGAGGGATTATTATGGCTATTGCACAGGTAAGGAAACCGAAGCACAGAGAGGTAAAGTAGCTTACACCAGGTCACACAGCTAGTCAATAGCAGAGCAGAACTGGAACACAGAACTGTGTGATTCTAAAGCGGCTTATCCCTCTGCACTACTGATATTTCAGAGCTATTTGAAAGTAGAACAGGCTGCTTGGGGAGTGAGCACTCTGCCATTGAACAGCATAGGGTGGAGGGACTACAGTGGGAAGTCAGATAGTTGAATCAGTCACACAGCCTCAAAGATTCTCACCCTGTGCCCTGAGGCACGGTCATAGGCTTGTGCCTTCCTTTATGCCTGTGAGAACAAATCAGTCATCTCACGGACATTGACTAAAACCCTCACAAGACCAGCCATGAACTAGACCTGGTACCTACCCTCATATGGAGGGTCTGACCCTTAGCTTTCACCTGGAAACCAGGTGATGCTGGAGGCTTAGGAAACATTTCCCAAGAGATAGAATAGAGCAATAGCAAGTGCTTTGGGGGTAAAATGATGAGCTGGATCTTGGGTATGGTGAGTGTGGAACTGGAGTCCCAGTGAAGCTGGTCCAGGAGGCAGGTGGGTATGCAGGAGTGGCATTCTAGTGATGGGGCAGGAAGCCATGGAATAGACGAGACCCTCCGGGGAGAGTGTGCAGAGCGAGAAAAGTGAGCCAACCCCCACCGGGAACACCGCTGCTTTAATGGATGGTTAGAGCAACAGGCAAGGGGAAAGGAGAACCAAGAAGCTGTGGTGTCGTGGAAGTCGTGGGAGAGGAGTTTCAGGAAGGATGGTCAGCAGTGCAGCGGACAGGTAGACTGAAATGAGAAGTGAGGAGAATCCGTTAGATCTGGAGGCCTTGGCCAAAGCAGAAGCCCAGTTGCATGCAGGGGTGGAGCGGGAGGAAGATGAGAAAATTGGGACAGTGAGTGCTGATGATGCTGTGCAGGTTGGGCAAGTGACAAAGTCAGCCAGAGGCCTTCACGCTTCTATCTTCTGTCCACGCAGGGCTCCTCCAAGCTGGAGAAAGCCGAGGTCCTGCAGATGACGGTAGATCACTTGAAAATGCTCCACGCCACTGGTGGGACAGGTACTGATGCTCTCCTCTCCTGGGAGTCCTTCATGTAGCAAATATTTTCGGGCCGGGCCCTGGGGATACCCTGGTGAGCAAAGCACATGTGGTCCTTGCCCTCATGGAGCCCACAGTCTGCAGAGGAGCTGAAGCAGATCCAGGTGGAACATGCGCAAACTTGGCTCTCTTCTTTGGGATTCACCCTCTCTACTCTCCGTGTCTCCATTTGTCCCAACCATTCCTCCAGCCTTAGGCCTTGGAGGAGCTCTTCTACCACAGACTGTTCTTACTGGTCCCACCCCCCAGGGCCTTGTTAAGCACGAGCCTGAAGGAGCTCGTTCTCACTGGGATCCCATTGGGAGGGGCCTGCCTGAAATTTTTAGCCACAGACGTTCCCTGGTGTGCCTGCTCGCCGGGTAGCCTTCTGGACTGTTGTGTCCTCGGTGGTGCTGGGGTGATATGTCGTGCTCACAGTTGAAGATCCGTCTAAGGATTGTAGTACAGTGCAAATGTAACTCATTCTGTTATTTTGAGCTAGGCCATTACAATAAAGTCACGGAACTGTGACTTTGAAAACACTTCAGACAAATGGCAATTTTGTCTGCATGAAGCCTCTCTGTGTGTTTTGGTGATTTCCCAATTGGGAAACCTTGAAAGCTCCGCAGACCTTGGCCACAAAGACCTAAGTCCTAAAACCTTAACTTTCTACCCTTCCAGGGGACAGTTGCATTTTAAGCGGCCCACGCTGGTGCTCCTCAAGCCTCAGTGTGCAGCAGGATCATGTGGGGACAGGCAGGTGTGGGTCACACCCCAGAGATTCTGAGGCGGTAGGTCTGGAGTGAGTTTGGAAATTTGCAAGTTTAGCAAGCCCATTGATGACCCTGATGCAGGTGGTCGCTTTGGGAACTTCTGCCAACGAATGCATGGCCAACTGTGGAAACTTCTGTCTCTAATCAACCAGTGGGGGAGATAGTTCAAGCTACATTCATGTTTATCCAATTAAAAGAAAAATAGTGACTAATATCTGGGCAGCATTTTATAGTTTTCAAAATGCTTTCACTTAGTGTTATCTCGTTTGCTTCTCGTGAGAGCCTGGAGGGTGGTGGCTGCTCATCGCCATTTCCTGGCTAAGGGTAACGGGAAGACGGAATTGCGGCTTAGGGCCCTGGCGTGAGATCTGAATCCCAGCTTTACTGCTTACTAGCTTTATGGCCTTGAACAAATGATTTAACTTCTCTATTCCTCACTTTCCTCGTCTCTAAAATGGGAGTAATGATAGAGTTCTTATGAGGATTAAATTAGATCATGCAAATTATGTGCTTAGTAAGAACTCAGTAAATGTTATTTAAAAAAGAACAGTGAACACAGAAAGGTGGAGGGATTTGCTCAAAGTTGCACAACTAACTTGCACAACGACAGCAGAACCAGGTCGCGCCCCCAAGGGAGGCTAACTCCAAACGTCGTCTCCTGCGGAGCTGTCCCTCTGTGGGGGCCTCAGCGGTGAACCAGGGACTGGACACTTGCTGCCATAGTCCTGAGGCCAGTGCTCGCTGGGGCTGTTCTGTCTTTGCCCAGAAAGCGGTCGAGGGAGGGGCGGATGTGGAGAGGCAGCGAGTATGTGACTACCTCTGTGGGCAGTCCATCTGGTCACCAGGTCAAAGAGAGGGTCCCTGATCTGATGACAGTAGCTGAGAACCAGAGTGGGGTCCTGCTTTCCGGGCTGCCTTTTGGGCTGGGGGACAAACTCTACTGCCTACGGGGGCCAAGCCAGTAATACAAATGATAGCTAACTTTTAATTTATTGAGCATTTCAGTGCACCGTTTCATTTCACCCTCACAGCTCTCTGCAGCAAGTACTGTTATAGGCCCATTTTACAGCTAAGGAAACTGAGGCATAGAGAGATTAAGGGTCTTGTGCACGGTCAGGCAGCTAGTTAAGTCTTCAGTCAAGCGGCTGGCCCCCAAAGACCTCGTGCTTCCTTGCTGCACTATGCTGCCTTCTGCAAGGAGTCTCCCAGCTCTGATGGCTGCTGCTACCACGTCCCAGCATCCGCCCCCATCAGCAGGCAGGGTGGTTCTACACCTCCGTGTGCACAGCCGTTTCACACCTGGCAAGTGTCTACTTAAATGAAGTTATCTTGGCTGCAGAGTTTCTTCTTTGGATTAATCTTGAATCCTGATGAAAACAATACTTGACATGTTATAATGCTTCACCGTTTAGTGGACTCATTTGATCCTCTCAGCCCGCTCCCCTCTGTCCCAGGTAGGATGATTATTCCTGCTTTATGGAGGGGGAGGCTAGGGCTCAGAGAGGTGAAGTGACATGCCCCAGGTCACACAGGGAGTGAGCGGGGGAGGCAGGTCCAGAGTTCAGACAGCCTGACGCCAGGCTCAGTGCTTGTCCCCCTGCCTGGCATGTTCTAATCATGCCTTACTTTGCAGGATTCTTTGATGCCCGAGCCCTGGCCATTGACTTCCGGAGCATCGGTTTTCGGGAATGCCTCACCGAGGTCATCAGGTACCTGGGGGTCCTAGAAGGGCCCAGCAGCCGTGCAGACCCTGTGCGGATCCGCCTTCTCTCCCACCTCAACAGCTATGCAGCTGAGATGGAGCCTTCACCCACGCCCGCTGGCCCCCTGGCCTTCCCTGCCTGGCCCTGGTCCTTCTTCCATAGCTGTCCAGGGCTGTCAGCACCCAGCCACCAGCTCGCCATCCTGGGAAGAGTGCCCGGCCCCGTCCTCCCCAGCGCCTCCTCACTCGCTTACCCCATCCCAGCCCTGCGAACCGCTCCCTTGCGCAGAGCCACTGGTACCATCCTGCCACCCCGGAGGAGTTTGCCACCCAGTCGAGGAACATCTACTACCCGGAGGGCCCGCCCCCTGGAGAGGCCAGCTGCCCCTCTGCCCATGGCCCCCAGCAGCAGGGCTGCCAGGAGCAGCCACGTGGCACCCCTCCTTCCATCTTCTTCTCCGACTCCCCCTGGCATTGTGGGGTCCCCTGCTTATGCGGCTGTTCCTGTGCCCAGGCCCCCTTCCCTGGGGCCAGCTGGGAGAGCAGCAGGAGCTGTGCTCTGCCAGTCCTGGGTCTCTGAAATCACTGAAGTTGGGGCTTTCTGAGCTGGCTTTCCCCCTGGCAGGGAGGAGAGTTCTTGTTCCAGGAGCTCAAAAAATGATGCCGCCTTTTCTGCTCTGCTTCCTGGACTGGCTCGTGTATGAAGGCGTGTTCTTTACCCATCAAAGGTCCCTCCTCCTTTGGCCCATCTCCCCTCCTCACTGCTCATCCCAGCTTGTCCAGCCAGCGCTCCTTGAGCTGTTCTGATCTCAGAGGCTTGGTCTCCTTTCTCACCTGGACAGATGAGTCCCAGGAGAGCCCCGAAGAGCTGTGCCCAGACCCCTCTCCTGCCCCAGCACACAGGGGGCAGTAGGCGTGAGTCTCAGGTCTGGGAACAAATCTTCAACCTAACGGGCACAATGGCCTAAGGCAGGCTGCTTCCCTCGAGAGACCAGACCCCAGCCAGGAGCAATGAGACACTGGCTGCAGCCTTCCCAGGGCCACAGGGCTGGAACATTGTGTCTGCCTCACTTCCTGAGACAGTAACTGAGCAAGGGCCACAAATAGGTCTCTTGGGAACCCTGTCTGCCCCTGCCCACCTGTCTTCAGCCCACCCCATCGCAGAAAACCACAGGACGGGCCTGCCGTCCACCACATCCCAGGCCTGAGGATTGGGGGCCCAGCAGGGCCTGCTCCTGCCCTCTTCTCAGCTGCAGACACCACCTCCCGCTGACCAGCTGTTCCCTGCACACGGCTGGGAGGTTTCCGGGCAGCAGTAAGGCTCTGCGACAGGGTGTCCTCACCACCAGCCTCAGACAGCGCCCCCAGACCGGAGCCAGGATTGACCAACTGAGAACCCAGCTCCCTGCCTCTCTCACCGTCACCATCCTCCAGGCACGTGGTCCCCACTGGGTGCACAGTGTGGAGGACCATGTTCCCACGTGATGGCGCCCAGAGAGGAATCCTCTTGGGATTCAGCACCAGACGTTTGTGCCGCCTGGTTTGCATCCGGCTCACAGAGCCAGACTGTTGGGACAGCCAAAGGCTGTCAGGCTGGACAAAAATAACTGCAAGGAGGGGTGAGAGGAAGGACAGTCAGAGGCGGCTCGGCCCTTCAAGGTCACACAGTGGGTCTAGGGCCTGAGATTCTCTTCACCCAGGATCCCACACAGCTGGCTCTGCTCAGAGGCCGTTTCACTCCCCACCTCCAGCCCGGACCGCTTCTCTAACAGAGGGAACAAGTGGCCCAGCGACCCTTCCCAATGGAACAGCAGAGACTGGATCAAACAGGGGCAGACCCAGGACTGACATCCAGCTGGCCCAGCATTGCCAGACCTGTTGTTAACATGTAGAAATACTTCTGCGCTCGTTCACAAATACCTGCTGTCCCTGAGTGTCTCCGAGAGTCCCCCACCACATGGCTTTTCCCTCAGGACCCTGTGCTGGTTAATGCCTGGCAGACCCAAGGCCATGGGGTCCTCTGGTCACTGGTGCTTATTCCGCACCAGTTATTAAATACTTCCAGTGTCGCCCCTGGGAAGATTCTCCCACCCCCACTCGTTGATGGAACTACCCTCCCCAGAGACTAATTTGAGGAGACTCCATGGGCTTAAAAGTGGAGTTTGCAAAGGCCCCGGGGAAAAAGGGCCCTTTCAGAGAAGTAGGTAAGAGGGTAGAGATCATTTAAATGACCCAGAAAGCTCTTTTGAAAAGGCAAATTCCTCAAGGGGGGATAAAAAGCTAGAGTCATTCTTTCATTCCTGTGTGAGTTAGTCCTGTCAGATTGCTGTCCTCCTGGGCCCATCTGAGCTGGACGGTGCTGAGGGGAGAGGGCCTCATTTCAGGGAGTGCTCCTGAGGGGGATGGAGACGGTGGGACGGAGAGAAGGAGGGCTGGGCGGTCAGCAGGCTCCTAGGAGTTGGGAGAGGGGGACAGAGGGAGGTGGCAGAAGGCAAAGACCAACTTCACCTCACAAAGGACTGGGAGAACTGCTCCTCCTCCTCCCCCTCCTCCCCTCCTGCCTCCCCCTCCTCCCCTCCTGCCTCCCCCTCCTCCCCTCCTGCCTCCCCCTCCTCTGCCTCCTTTCCCTCTCCCCCCCCTTATTCCTTCCCCCTCGTCCTCCTCCTTCCTCTCCTCCCCCCTCCTCCTCTCCCTGACCACCCCAGGTGGTGGCCCACTGCTCCCAGGGTACCAGGTCAGTCCTGCAGTCCTGCGCTTTGGCGACTTCCTAGCCCGAGAATCCAACGTTTACTCATAGTGGGGCTGTGGGAAACATATTTCCACATTTCAAGTACCCAACTCCAAAAGAATTGGTTGACACCATTGAACGAGGTGGAAATGGCCCAGAACTTTCAGCATCTTAGTTGATCTTGGGTTCATTCTCTCTGAGAGATTGTTGGGGGAAAGGTGACTGTGTGTTTGTTTCCATGGTTGAGGACTTGTATCTTTGTTTATATTCCCAAGCCTTTCTGGTGCCCCGGACTCCCTACCCCATTGCTGGAGTTGTTGCAGACATCCAATAAAACTTTTTTTAGTTCTTCTGGAAACCTCCAAGATTCTACTTCTTCAATAACCCTGGAGTCCATCCACTTCCCTCTGAACCCACAGCCATCACCCTGGTCTGGCCACATCACCTCTCCCCAGATCACTGCCCTCCCGAAGGTGGCCTTGCTGCTTTCTTGCGCTGCTGCTTCTGACCCAGCCTCACTTCCAGCCTGCTCATCCTCTTCTGTCCCAACCTCACTTCCAGCCTCATTGCGTGCCAATCCCAATCTTGCTCCCTGGGCTTCTGCCACCCTGTCCTGCCGTTATTTCAACATTCCAACCTCATTCCACTTCCAGGACTTTGCATATGCTGTTCCCTCTGCCCAGAATGCTTTTCCTCTACCCTTTGCAGCCTGAGCTCTTCATCCCCTCAGGCCTTGGCTTAAATGCCACCTCCTCAGAGAGGCCTTCCCTGAATACTGTGCTTGAATAGTTAATCTGTCTGAGTCCCCTATTCTTTCCCTTCGTAAGGAATTAGCCATTACACACCCATTTGTGTGTTTACTTGTGGGTTGACTGTCTCCCCGGGCAGGATGCAAGCTCCGTGAAGCCAGGGGCCACGCCTGGTTTGCTCTCCACCCTGCATCCAGTGCCAAGCACAGTGCCTGGCTCAAGTCACTGTTCAACAAATATTTGTCGAATACATGAACTGGGGGAGGTGAGGAATCCTCTGGACTCGTGCTGCTGGATGGTATAGGCTCCATCCGCTGGCCAACTTTGCAGGGAGGCTGGAGAGCAAAGTGAGAGCCTGGGCCAGGAGACTGGAGCTCCTGGCAGATGGTAAGAAGGCTCTGGCCAAAAAAAATGCGTGAGTGTGCTCGCTCTGGAGTGCACGCTGACAGCTGAGGACAGGCAGGCTGTCCCTGCCAGCAGGTATTGTTCTCCGCTCTTGGCCTGGCTCTCTCTGATGGATTTGGCTCGCAACAAATCCAATAAAGAGTCGCAGAGGTATGCTCCGTGTTAGGCCAGGCATGACGGAGCCAGAGGTGACGAGGACACTGTTGCCCTGAGGGAGCGTACCCTCTCTCTAAGTGATAGTTTGGTGAGGTGAGAGTGGAGAGAGAGGTCTGTGGAGGAGGATGAGGGGTATCTGCCATGGCCTAGGGTGGCCATGAGGGAGGGGGGCGCTGGGAGGAAGGCTTCCTGGAGGAAGACGAAGGGAGGCATTCTAACAGTGGAGGGAACCGACTGTGCAGAGACCTGGAGACTGCATCAAGGGGAGCTCTGAAAATTGGCCTGAGTTGAGCACAGACCTTCAGCGACAGAGCGAAAGACAGGCTAGTCTGGGCACTGGAGCCAGACTCCCTGGGTCTAGCCCCAGCTCCATCACTTATCAGGGCTGTGGCCTTGGGCAAGTTACTTAATACCCCTGACCCTCAACTTTCTAATCTACAAAACTGGGATAATGCAGCAATGGCTACTGTTAACTGAGTCGTAACTACATAGCAGACACTGTGCCAAATGCTTTTCTTGGACAGTCCCCATTTTACTGATAGGAAAACAGAACCGAGGCACCGTCTCATAAGGTTAGGTGAGAATTGAATGGGATAACACATGGAAAGCCCTCAGAACAATCCCGGGTCACATGAATCTCTCAGTCAATCTTAGCCATTAGTGTCATTAGTGGAAAGAGGCTGAATCCAAATTGGGAAAGGCCTCGAGTGCCATGCAGACTTCAGCCTGTGGTCAGTGGAAGCCACAGAAGCGTTTGCCAGGTGAAAGCCAAGGTCAGACCTTGTTTAAGAAACTCCTGGGGCCAGCCCCGTGGCCAAGTGGTTAAGTTCGCGTGCTGCACTGCGGCGGCCCAGGGTTTCGCCGGTTCAGATCCTTGGCGCGGACATGGCACCGCCCATCAGGCCAAGTTGAGGTGGCGTCCCACATGCCAGAACTAGGAGGACCCGCAACTAGGATATACAACTGTGTACCGAGGGGGATTTGGGGAGATAAAGCAGAAAAAAAGGAAACTCCTGTTTGGGGTGGTATGGACAACTGACTGGGAGGGCTAGTAATCAGACTCAATGCCTCCTATTCATTGGAAATACTTAGATGCTTTTTAAAAGCTTCAGCATCCAGGGGGCTGGCGTGGTGGTGTAGCGGTTAAGTTCGTGTGCTCTGCTTCGGCGGCCTGGGGTTTGACGGTTGGGATCCTGGGTACAGACCTACGCACCACTTATCAAGCCATACTGTGGCAGGTGTCCCACATATAAAAAAAGAAAATGGAGGAAGATGGATCAATCTCCCTCAGCAAAAAGAGGGGGATTGGCGCAGATGTTAGCTCAGGGCTAATCTTCCTCAAAAAGAAAAATCAGTGCAGGCCCCCAAAATGATGATTTAACTTGTCTGTTGTGAGGTTCAGGCAACCCATAGGAGGTTGAAGAAACCCGTCAGGATTTCTTTCCCAGTCAAGGTAAGTTTCCATTCAACCAGTGAACTGGACTCCAGCTTGTGAGCCTGAAAAGGGCTGATGCTTTCTTTTTTTTTTTTTTTTAAAGATTTTATTTTTTTCCTTTTTCTCCCCAAAGCCCCCCGGTACATAGTTGTATATTCTTCGTTGTGGGTCCTTCTAGTTGTGGCATGTGGGACGCTGCCTCAGCGTGGTTTGATGAGCAGTGCCATGTCCGCGCCCAGGATTCGAACTAACGAAACACTGGGCCGCCTGCAGCGGAGCGTGCGAACTTAACCACTCGGCCACGGGGCCAGCCCCTGAAAAGGGCTAATGCTTTCTGAGAAGAGAAGCAGAAATTAATTTCCACAAGGGTATTCTGTCCTCCAGCCCCATCCTAGTAATGTTATAGTCGTGTTGTAGGTACACCACTTCACCCCTAGTGCCCTCCCCCCACCCCCCCTTTCCCCTGGTAACCACCGATCAGTTCTCTTTGTCCATATGTTAAGTACCACGTATGAGTGGAGTCACACAGAGTTCATCTTTCTCTGTCTGGCTTATTTCACTCAACATAATATCCTCAAGTTCTATCCATGTTGTTGTGAATGGGACGACTTTGTCCTTTTCTATGGCTGAGTAGTATTCCATTGTCTATATATACACCATATCTTCTTTATCCAATCATCAGTTGCTGGGCACTTAGGTTGGTTCCATGACTTGGCTATTGTGAATAATGCTGCGATGAACATAGGGGTGCATGGGACTTTTGGAATTGCTGATTTCAGGTTCTTAGGATAGATACCAAGTAGTGGGATGGCTGGGTCATAAGGTATTTCTATTTTTAACTTTTTGAGAAATCTCCATACTGTTTTCCATAGTGGAGGCACCAGTTTGCATTCACACCAACAGTGTATGAGGGTTCCTTTTTCTCCACAGCCTCTCCAACATTTGTCACTCTTGGTTTGGGATACTTTTGCCATTCTAACAGGTGTAAGGTGATATCTTAGTGTAGTTTTGATTTGCATTTCCCTGATGATTAGTGATGATGAGCATCTTTTCATGTGTCTATTGACCATCTGTATATCTTCTTTGGAGAAATGTCTGTTCATGTCCCCTGCCCACTTTGTGATTGGGTTGTTTGATTTTTTGTTGTTGAGCTGTGTGAGTTCTTTATATATTATGGAGATTAACCCTTTGTCGGATAAATAACTTGTAAATATTTTTTCCCAATTAGTGGGCTGTTTTTTTGTTTCAGTCCTGTTTTCCCTTGCCTTGAAGAAGCTCTTTAGTCTGATGAAGTCCCATTTGTTTATTCTTTCTATTGTTTCCCTCATCTGAGGGGTTATGGTGTCCGAAAAGATTCTTTTGAAGCTGATGTCAAAGAGTACTGCCTATATTCTCTTCTAGAAGACTTATTGTTTCAGGCCTAATCTTTAGGTCTTTGATCCATTTTGAGTTTATTTTAGTGAATGGTGAAAAAGAATGGTCGATTTTCATTCTTTCACATGTGGCTGTCCAGTTTTCCCAGCACCATTTGTTGAAGAGACTTTCTTTTCTCCATTGTAGGCCCTCAGCTCCTTTGTCGAAGATTAGCTGTCCATAGATGTGTGGTTTTATTTCTGGGCTTTCAATTCGGTTCCATTGATCTGTGCACCTGTTTTTGTACCAGTACCATGCTGTTTTGATTACTGTAGCTTTGTAGTATGTTTTGAAGTCAGGGATTGTGATGCCTCCAGCTTTGTTCTTCTTTCTCAGGATTGTTTAGCAATTCGGGATCTTTTGTTGCCCCATATGAATTTTAGGATTCTTTGTTCAATTTCTGTAAAGAATGTCATTGGGATTCTGATTGGGATAGCGTTGAATCTGTAGATTGCTTTAGGTAGTATGGACATTTTAACTATGTTTATTCTTCCAATCTATGTGCATGGAATGTCTTTCCATCTCTTTATGTCATCATTGATTTCTTTCAAGAGAGTCTTGTAGTTTTCGTTGTATAGATCTTTCACTTCCTTGGTTAAATTTATCCCAAGGTATTTTATTCTTTTTGTTGCGATTGTGAAAGGGATTGAGTTCTTGAGATCTTTTTTGTTAGTTCATTGTTGGCGTATAGAAATGCTACTGATTTATGTATGTTGATTTTATACCCTGCAACTTTGCTGTAGCTGTTGATTGTTTCTAATAGTTTTCCTATGGATTCTTGGGGTTTTCTATATATAAGATCATGTCGTCTGCAAACAGCTAGAGTTTTACTTCTTTGTTGCCTGTTTGGATTCCTTTTATTTCTTTTTCCTGCCGAATTGCTCTGGCCAACACCTCCAGTACTATGTTGAATAAGAGTGGTGAAAGTGGGCACCCTTGTCTTGTTCCTGTTCTGAGAGGGATGGGTTTCAGTTTTTGTCCATTGAGTATGATGTTGGCTGTGGATTTGTCATATATGGCCTTAATTATGTTGAGGTACTTTGCTTCTATACCCATTTTATTGAGGGTTTTTATCATAAATGGATGTTGGATCTTGTCGAATGCTTTCTCTGCATCTATTGAGATGATCATGTGGTTTTTGTTTTTCATTTTGTTGATGTAGTGTATCACGTTGATTGACTTGCGGATGTTGAACCATCC